CCATTTAAGTACAACAATAACGCGTTCGACCGCGCACACTTAAGATCTTTATTATACATTCGATGCAAGGTTATGTTTGTGATTGTGCTCAAGATATTTTTCTATTCTCGTTCCCAACTCGCACGCTCTTGTGTATGGTTATGTTCCACGAGTGTTTGTCGAGTATGTTTGGAGGTTAGGAAAATATTTCGTAGCTTTTACTCTCTTAGATCGTAGGAATAATTTACGTGAGCAAAAATCTCAACTTTCGGTGTTCGCGAGAGTAAATCTGTATGTTATCGAATTAAGTTGGTATCGTGCTAGTTTACTGGCTTAGTTCATAGATATTATTTGGGCACACGGAAGCTAAGCTTTAAAATCGTTTAAAAATTAATTGGTTACGTGGAATACGAAGTTTCGGTCTTTTAATATATTTTCATGGAAAGCTTTTGGTTTTCCGGCAAACCGTTGTTCGCGGCATACCAAAGCTTCTGAGATTTTTATTAGAAGTTATTCGTTTCATATGCGAAACTAACACCTGTTTCTTTTTCGAATTTTTCCACAGCGTATAAACCCTTTACACTGGTACGCTTCCGTAATCGATGTCGTTGTTGTTTTTTGAAAAGGACGTAAATTGTATTAACTTATTTCAAACTTGTCGATAATCTCGTGATACCGGGGTGGTCAAATCTGCTTACGGCAGGAACCATATTTCAACTATCAGGAGAAGTCTGCATAGAATAGAGAATTGAATTTTCTACCGAAGTTTTTAATATGTAATTATTATTAATATTAATTATTCATATATAACGAATACGTTAATACTGGCATCAATTATTTAATACTAACGATTGTTTTTCAATTATTATTTATCAATTTATATATATTATAACGAATCCCTTTTTAGGAATCATGGAGTCGTATTAAGCATTTAAAAGAGCCACGATTTGAACACCCCTATCACTTGTCGGTGAAAATGAAATTTTTTCTAATACTGCATTCCCTCGTGCTTTCCTCTCAACTAATTCGTGCCCATGGACCAATCATTTGAGTGTTTTACGCCTTTTACGTAACAAAGAAAAAGCGTAAAAGACGCTTCTGCTTATTTATGTTCGTATTTTTTTTTTTTCCGTAAACGCGTAACATGTATTTTCGTTACGCTCGACGAGCCATCGATAAGTGAAAACGTGTTTGAAGCGGATGAGGAGGCGTTTCGCGGCAAACAGAAGCGTTTACAAGCCGTGATACGTTTATGTAATGCCGTCGACTGGCGATAAATGACTATTTCTCGCGCAAAATCATTTAATCGAACGCCAAGGGAACGTTCCACGACGTGGAAACGTAATTAATGCTCCGATCATCACTGCTAACATTGTCTGCCACGGCCATAGCTGCGTTGAGTAGAGAAGCCTCAGTCTAGAACAGGGATGCGTAATCGATTTCCTGATGGAATAAGTATGGAGTAGTACGACTTCAATGATGACGAGGTTTGGTAAGAAAAGGGTTAAAATATATAATTTTATCGTTTACGGTAGAACATCGATAATTTGCAAGAAAACCTCGTTAGTTATATTCCACCATCTTAGGCAGGAATAATCACTCGAGTAGGAATAAACGAATGGGAAAAGATATGAAAAAGAGCGTAGATTTTAGGTCTCATGCATGCATTTTCCGTTGTTCACTGTTTTCGTGCAATTATCGAGATTCTATGCATGTATATATATATACATTGTTTTTATTTATAATACCGAATATGTAAGTATTAAAATATTAGAGTATTAAAAATTTCCATTGTTAAACGCGTAATAAATTTGAACTATATCGTGCGAATTGCATTGTACTATGTTGTGAATGAGAAGAAACTATTACCTTTTAGCGTACGTGTGAAATCGTGAAGCTATCGCAGTGTGACTTATAATATTCGAACAAATTGTAATGGACTTGATCGTTGAAATTATTGCAGATTCGATTATATGAGTATATCCAAAAAGAGAAGTATAATAATACCTTGATTTATCATTTCGAAATTAACATATATGTGCTGTATTTTCAGCCACAAAAATGTTATAATGTTATTCATTACCACGATGCATTATTTTGCGAATCGAATAACGTCCCATTTAGAGTAATCGATGATTCTGGTGCTCAGCTATACAAAACTGCATAAATTTAAGTATAAAAATCATCATGAACGAATAAAGGGACGTTCTTCTCTCGGTAAATGGCGGATTGCAGCGAAATATTAAATACGAAACTATCGAATGTGACAAGATGACATTTTTCTCCGACGAGGATAAAAACTTACCGACCAAATACGAATGTTCTTGTGTTTGCACAAAATGTAACTACATTGCTCTCGGTCGTACGCGTGAGTTACATAGTATAGTGTCGTAACTTTAAATGTAAGTTACGCTGAAAAGAAAACAGGAATAATGAAACAGAAAATGTCACAGGTTACAGAGAGCAACGTTGATCGGTATTAATTACGATAATTGCGTTTATGTTTAAATATTTCGATGTGAATGGATAGATGGTAGATGGAAATGAAAATGATACGCTTGGATTCGATGAAATATGTATTATCCTCTTCACGCTGTTGCGCGGAGGATAATTTTATTCCTTATGTCCTTGGGAAAAGTATCTACAAAAAATATTTTATTCACCGATGTAAAACGAGCAATGTGAAGAAGTATCGGGCAGATATTCTTTGGATTTTACAGTTTACGACGGATACAATTCACTTAGGAAAAAGGAGACATATTCCAGTGAATTAGCTTGTGTTTAATGGATAAAAGTTGGACAAAAGAATCTCCTGTATATGAATATTAAATCATTTAATAATTACAGAGTATTAAACATTTACATCCACTGATATTTTCGGGACGACATCAAAGGAACTGCAAAGAATTTTCCAAGTTCCTGAAACGTTTTGTATTGAAGGAAAACAAGTATTTACAATTTACACCCAGTTCAGTCATTTTTTAATTGATATAATTCCAATCTCGAGGAAGAACCGACAGACTGATATATTTTTTTATTATCAATGGTATTAAAATTGAAAATTAATTGTTTAGACAGAATTATACATATGGTACTCCATATGAACGTAGTATAAGTTCTCAGTGAATAATTCATTTTAAATCAGAGAAACCTGGATTTACATAACTCAAGTAACTCAATAAAGAAAAAAAGAGAAAACGGAGAAGTGATTTAATTCTTACATCGATGAAGTAATTGATTCCCCCTAAAACGGCGTCGATTATGATCGCGTGTTGGATTTTCGTGAGATCTTTTAAAATTTCAGAGCGTGAAAAGAACGAGGCAATCGAATAGAGATCGCGAAGAAAGAGCGTGACGAGGATAATAACGAGCGATTCAGTCAATCCTATCGTTTCTAGCCGTTTGCCGACGCGAGATGGCCGCGATATAATATATGTATATATATCTAGACATATCTATATATATACACACACACATATATATATAGGTACTTAAGAAGATTCGTGATTCGAGAAATTCGTTAGCTCGTTAAATTGAATTCCGCCTCGGAATAAGAATGATGCTCGCCTCGACGAGATTGTTATCGTTGTACCTAAAAACTATAGATATTAACGTAAAAAGAGACACAAAGGACACACACCGTCGTTCTGTCACTATTTATTGTATTGTAACGATGGGTATGATCATATACCGAAAAATAAAACTATTATTACTCTAAATGGACATTGCTAGGTGTAACGGTGGTGTACGAAATTTTCTAACGAGATATCTCACGATTCTTCTCCGAGAAGATTAAGCAAGATAAAAGTCATTTTTCTGCAAGATTTTTATTACTTTTTGCACTCGCTTGCTTATGAATTTCTTTGAAGTAAGCGTTGGTATAAGAGAGCGGCAAAAGTTGAAAGGAAGTTAAAAAGGTAAAGGAGGAAAAAGCTAGGAAGGGGTTGAGATTAAAAGATCTCCGAAGTAATGTCTTCTAAAGTTTCAAAAAAAGAAAACCTTTATCCACGGAAACTTTTGCACGCCACTATACATATGTATTAAGTGTATCAACCCTTTTTCGCTGTGTGTGTTGTTAAACATATGCATGTGTGACATGCACAGAATACTGATATAAAGCTGGTCTACGCAATAAATTATATTTTTACTCGTAATTAGAAGAAATATCGGAGAAGGAAGAAGCGAAACATCGAAACATTCCTTTAATCAAGACTTCTACTTAAGGTATTTCGTGAGTTAATTACTTTTTGATCAGATACTATACACAAGGTAAGAAAAGATTAATTGAAAGCAAAAATACTGTTTCTTTAAAAATAAAATAACAATAAGATAAAAATTCTGAATATTTGTCTCTTAATTATTTTCGTAGATATAGAGTATATTATCCGAAAGATTCACAGCATCCAAAATTATTTTTCAGCATGTGTTGTAGATGGAAGTCCGAGATAATTAAGTTCGTAAGCTTTATTTCAACAATAATTACAAACAATTATAACTTCAGTGTATATGGAACATATAAGGCTTCAATATTGTCTGTCAATAATTCTCTTAAGAATATTCGATAAACAGGTCGCCGAATCTCGGTTAACTGAGCACCTTCATATTTTATTCAAACAGCTTCAACTGTGTTAAAAGATCATGCCAATAATTGGTCTCGTTACACAGCAGTCAATTATACCTGATTCTCGTACTCGAATAAAAGAGCATCAAAGGATTCGTACTCGTTACGAGCTTCAAACAAAGAAACAACTGAGCCTCGTGAGTTTGAGGGATAATTCGGTTTTCAAAATCAGTGCAATAAACATACGTATAAACACGCTTCCTTAAAACTACTTTATAAACATATAACCAACTTAGCTATTACAGCAAGAATCTTTACAAACGTTCTAACATCAACCAATACATCAATTTGATCGGAGTATAAAAAAATAATTAATGTTACCGCAAAATAAAAAATGCAATATTTTCTACGAAATCCAGACTAGTCGATTATCGAACGCTTATAAGCAGGATCTGTCGCTCAACTCGATGTCTTCTCGATTCTCTGGATCATCACTGATGTGCCGGATAGTCGGCGTACCAACTAAAAGCTCCATTGGTGCCTGTTTGTCCGCCGAAATCCACGTAATCGAGGATGTGGCCATTGGACCTTTCCGCGCGTGAACTCTTCAGCTCGTCCTGCGAAATACTAGGAACTGCTATGGGAACGTAAGCCTCGGTTTGCCGGGCAATCCTCGAAGTAGCTGGCGCCATCGGACTCAGCTCGATCACGTCGATTCCGTCTACAGGAATGGCAATGTAACGACGCCCGGCCGAAGCACCGTAGACACCGCACAAAAGAAGCAACGTTACTGCCTGGAACGGTACAATGAACGATATTGAAATCCTGTCGTGTCGTTGGAGTTAGATTAATTAAAATTAGAATTAGATTACAATTTATATCAACTAGTAGACGAGAAACGAAAGAATCGAAATAAGATAACTTAGTACATCGAAAATCGAGGAAAATCGAAAAATTCTGGACTCTAAGTCTCATCTCGATGACAAAAGTAAAAGAGAATGGTCTTATCTTTATCATAGCCTTACTTTATATTAGAAATGAAGATCATGTAATATCTGTTATGCACTTCTCATCGATAATTTTTCAAAAAGAAAGAAAAAAGGTTTCAAAACGGAATTTCGGTGAACTCTAGGTTCCACCTGCGACCTTGGGTCAAGTTCTAAGTTTTGCGTTCACCGGTGGTCTCTAATTCTCTCATTAAACTGCATCAAACGATGTGCTATTGACCATGCATTTCACAGTATGCTGCCTTTCAGACTATCGGGGATTTCTTTAAAGGTTAAAATATTCTTAGACATGAAAGATATTGAGTCCAGGAACGTTTAACTTTTAAATTCTTGTCTTTCGTACGCTACCAAACATTATAAGGGAGCGGTAAAGGTGATGGATCAAGTGACCGTAACAATCGAACGCGATCTAACGTGATCTAAAATACTATCATTCTTCGACGTTTACGAGAAATCCTTACTCGATAATTCACACGCTTAATTAAAAGTTTAATCTACCTCGGTGCCAATAAGGAGACAGGCAAGACGTTTGTTCACACGATTTAATATCTTCCTTTTCTTCCTTGCGACACAGATTTCAAGACGATTTTCAAGCACGAACGCATAATTATTTAATATCACACTCAGAGGAATACGTTAAGAGGGTCAAGGTAATGAAAATGTAATTAGAGAGACCAAACCCTCGGACAAATTCAGCTTAAATCAAGATTCCAATTAATCTCTGTTATTTACATGCGAAGTATTCTAAGCGAGAAACCTATAGGAAAATTCGGATAATTGACGAAGAAACTGGATTGGATGGAAGGTGAATTTCGATTACCACGTTTAATTATCCCGATAGAGACGGCAATACTACCAAAAACGTGTCATTAAAACGCTAAATAATTCGAGATGATAAGTAGAACGACTAACATCGTTAAATTGCAATGGAAATTGGACGATGAAAGTGATCCACGTTCTATCAATCACCGTAATCGATCAAGCAGTGGTTATTAATCATTTCATAACCCACGAATTAACTCGTATTCGCAATTTGAGAGCACAGTATCATCGATGTTTCATCGAGTAATTTTGATATTAGCAATTGACCTAATGGGACTAATTAGAGCACGTCCTACTGTTACAGAACTGCCAGTTGATCAATTCTCGTGTTCTATCGTTACGTGGGATTAAGGAAACGAAAAGAGGAATCTATTGAAATAGAAATAAAATTTATAAAATAAATAAAAAGCATCAATTCTGGTTACTTTTACGGAAATCTTCCGAAGATGGTCAATTTTAGCCAGTATCGTTATCAACTAATTTAACTTCTAGTACTATAACGATCTTGTTATTCGTATCAAATCATACACTTTTCTCGTGCAAGTCAAATTATACTTAACGCGTTTTAACACGAATGAAACTCGTATAAATTCTGAGAGCTTCTATAATTTTATTCCGGGCGATATATATCGTGGCTAACTAGAATTAAACGCCTGCCCAGTCCACTATTTTTTATAATTAAATCGCAAGGGGTTAAGACGACTGAGAAGCGATTAACCGATTAAGAGAGCAGCAGAGAAATAGAGATTTACCAAGTGATTCATCGTTGGATTTACCGGTTGTAAATGCGCCTCCAGTTTGGATATACGTCGCACTGATGAGAGAAGGCCGGTTTGGCGTCGTTTTATACAGTTTCGCTTGGCCGCAGCTTTCTCGTTTTTCCCGATCACCGAGCACCGGCTTCCAGGCGACAGCAATTACTCCCGGTACTTCTTTGCCCGTTATTTACCGTATTCCAACCCAATCGCTATGTCCGCGGCTGCGACGAACTCGAAGATCGACTGCGAACCATTCTTCTTCTTCATTTTTTCCCCTTTTTCCTTCCTTTCTTTTCTCTTCTTCTCATTTCATTTCTTTTACCGTTCGTTTAGGAACGCCTCGGATTTCAAGAGAAAAGAAATCCAGGGGGTCTAATCGCTCCGCTAGAACCGGAGGCTGGCATTATTCGTATTGCTTCCGCTGTTCAAATGCTGGTTTCTTACGATAGTTTAGTTAAAAGATAGATTGTTAGGTTGCCGGTTGAAACGCGTGTTTATTGGTACTTGTTTTTGTGTTTGGAACACACGAGAGGATATTTTGGAGACGACGTAGTAAGATAATGACGAGTGTTTTTGGTTCATCCAGATGGATTAGAAACTGTGGCAGGAATTGGAAGATCTCTTATTAGCCTCAGCTTAAAGTCTCCTACCCTAGAACGTTAAAAATTTCAGGAAAATTTCGTTTCTGGAACATCGAAATTTATCTTATCTCGGTTAGCATTCGGAACATTAATTTAAACTTCTTGTACAACATTAACCCTTTGCACTCGACGATTTTTTCACAACAGAAAGTAGAAATTCGAAGATTTCTGCCAATAAATAAAAAATCATATAATAAATAACACGTAGAATTATTTAATTTCGATACTTCGCACACTATTACCTTACCTTAAATTTAATATATTAATTAATATCGGTCTTCCAAATATTAAATGGCGATTGAAGATCGCATCTCGAGTGCAAAGGGTTAAAGCAGTCTGTATATTTAAACCCAATTTTTTCTTTTTCTTACTAGCCACCAGTGATACGCAAACAAAGTCTAATAATATCAGAACGATAAACACTACCTACAAAGTGTCTACATAACTCGATCTCACATGTATCGAGTAGTCCAGGATAAAAAGGGGAAATATTGTACTATATTCTCTTGCAAATATTCGTTACGTTTAACATCTAGAACCTAATCAATGTACAATGCATCGAGACTTGAACCTAACTCCTATTCCTAACTTTTGTCATCGAGCAAAGACCATCTTCTCTCGAACCATCGTTGATCGCAAAATCATTTGGTGGGATTTCCAGCTGAACAACTATACTCGATACACCGTTAAAGTAGATACGGTTTCGTAGACTGTGTCGGATGAGCAAGTTCTCTACTCACTGTTCCAGTGCAGTAACTTCCGGTATCGCTTCTTCCTTGTCCTACTCCCGCTGCTATGACCGCTACTGTCGTCGTTGCTCGACGAGGGCTTTGTCCCCTCTTTTTTGCGGTCGTCCGCTCGGTTCCGACTTTTACCCGTGGACAAGAAGCTCCGAAAAGTCGCCGGTCTTGTATCACGATGTCGTAATCCGAGAAAGCCAGCGACGCGATGGATAAAGTGAAAGGAAACGACGATTTAGGGTTCCGTTGGAGGACATCGAACAGATGGAATAGCTTATAAAACGATCATTTTATTCGCTTGAATCATTGCTTTTTCAGATAAGGTACAGTTTCGATCGGGACGGTAAAAATCACTCTGATTTATCGTGATACCACAGCACCGTTCGCTGCGGTGTACAAAGGTGAACAGGGTTTACTCACGATCTTAAGCACGATTGTCGAATAAAACGAGCAACCATAAGTGGCTAAGCTTTAGAATCTATGCGTGGTATCGCCGGATCGCTAGGTGCGTGTATTGAAAGCGTTTCGAAACGATAAATCAACTGGTGTCTTCGTTCGTTCCTTCTAAGGCTAGAGCTTCTTAAATAAATGACTAGGAATAAAAGGTTGTAAGTTAAGAGAGTATTCGTAAAATATCGTAGATACAATAAATTCGGTCGATTTCTCTATTAAGTAACGACTCGTGTCGCATTGAACGATTGTTATTACGTTGGTGGGAAATAAATGCCTGATCGAAGCTTTTACCTTTGTGCTGAGCTTCTTATTTTGGCATGAAAATTCTGAGAATAAGATGGCAGTGTTATGTCTATGTATTTTCAAAATGACGATTGTCTGAACTAGTGAAACTTTTCTATAAAAATTCTGATAACTAAGGTGTAAGAGAAGTGTTCTATTTCGAAGAAATTTAAATAAAAAAAGAAAAAATAAATTATTCTATTCCTTTTGGTAGAAATTTTGTTTCCATTAACGAATAGGGAATAATATTTATTCTCTTACTTATTTATCCATTTATTTCCCACTATTCCTATGTGAGCATGAGCTTAATTGATAAATGAGTTATCTTATCAAAATAAAATGATCTACAAAATCTTCTTCAGTCTTGATACTTTCTTCTAATACTTGCAACCATTTCTTACATGCCATGTTTATATTTTAGTAAGAGTAATTACGCACGAAGCAGTTTCAGGTACACGGTCCTTAATCTTAAGCGTACTTTAAATAGCGTATGTGCACTGAAAGAAATTATGCACGACCTTAAGAGTAGCGCTACATAACTACTTGGAAGAAGAGTAAGGAAGAGCTTTTACGTAGTTTATCGTGCTTCGAGTAACAACTGCTTTTAAAATGCCAACTTTTCGGCGTTACCAGGCACTTACGGTTATTCTTTCATTACGTTCTTCTCTAAAGCATATTGAAATAATTCTATTTTAATTGATATATTAATTTTGATTAATTAACATCAAAGATTCTATCGATATAAAGTTTGGAAGACGTCTTATTTCTCGTAACAGGTAAATACGTAAATTTAGAATGTATCCTTTAAAATAGTGAGAGAATCATTTGCAAATTAAATAACATGGAAAACAACAGTGCTTTAGACCAATTTGTGATCTAAATTATTTGCAAATAAACAGTGTAACGAAGGAATCAAGTTGAAAGTAATCGATTGTAACAATTTAGTACAAAATTAATTACGTTTTGATCACAAAAGAAAAGACAAAAGGAAAAAGAAATTGAAAGCAATAAATACTATAATCTATTTCACAAAAGCAAGATTCTCTATCTACTTTAAAAGTGTTCCCCACGTTTCCTCTTAAATTCTATTCTATCACTCTTAATATGTATAAAAAAAAACTGCTGTACTCTACTCAGTAACTTTCTCCTCGACGATTCTTTATAACCTACGAAATTATCAAAGTATCAGAACGGCAGGTTGCAACAAGATAAAAAGCGCATCTCTCTCAAACTTAGACTAACTATAACATTAACGACGAAATTAAAGAACAAAAAATAAAGCGCATAGGCGAAAGGCTTGAATCGTTGCATGTCTTCTATGCTATTCTCTTTCTTGCTATGTCTCTCTCTATCGGGGAAAGCCTTCGTTTGCAATGTTTCAAATTGTCACATCTAAAACGACTACGAGGCCAAAGAAAAGAAGAAAAGCGTAACTCGATGGAAAAAGAGAAACATGGCTGGTGCTTTCGATTTACCCCAGCTCCAACTCGTCCGAATCCGTAGAAAGATCGCTCTCGCAGCCAGCTGCGATGTTTCTCAAAGATGCGTTGATATTCGAGCGGGGATTTCGAGCTTTCTCGTACTTCTCCTTCTCGACAAAGCGACTCCTCCCGTCCTTCGCCGGTGTCACCGGATCGATCTCCTCCATCTGCTTGCCCGTTTTCTGAAAGAAATCGATACGGCAGCTGTTAATGATCGCGATGTATTCGTTGATTTATCGGTTAACCGCAGGTAAGCGTGTCTTCCGAGCTGCACGCCGGAAAAGAAGGAAAAAAATCAACGTCCGCACACTTTCTACGATCGATCCTGTTCGTCGCGGACTTTGTTGCAATTCTGCATCCTTTTCTTCCTTTCTTACTTTTATTCTGGATTACTTAGAAAATTCTTAAACCTAGAATATTTGATCCCGACCTATAGAAATGTAAAAATTGATTTACATTTCCAGTAGTAAGGTATGTCATTACTCATCCAATTGTAGTATTCATAAGGTTCATAAGGCTCATCCACCGTAGGGAAAATATGATTTGTAAAGAATTGAGTTTCAATATATTTACCTCCGGTGTGCTCAGATCGATTTCTTCCGTTTGGAAGCCTGAAGGTGTACTGGTGGATGTTTCGTGATCTATGGTCGATTCGTTTGGGTTCGGTGAATCGATCGAACTAAATTTACGTGGAGTGTTTGCCAACGTTTCAGGGGTCAAAGCTCGTTTCGCCAATGTAGAAGTAGACGCCGGACTTGAAATAGTCGTCAACTCGTAGCTTCGAGTTGATAGGGACAGCGTTGAAGAGGCTGTCGATGACAGAGGCTCTTCCAGCACGGCGAAGCCTTCGTTTATCATCTCTTGACCGATATTAATGTCCTACGCATATTTTATATACGATTAGTGTATCAGTAGTAAAGGAAAAATACCGTTCATTCTTATGAATTTATAGATGGTAATTCTGATCCGTTAAAAAATTCTCTACGTCCAAAATTTTTCTTTCTATTTAACTATTGGTATTTATAAGCAGTATTTAGTAGTATATTGTATTACAATTAAATTATGTTACTATTTAGAAGCAGTATCATAATTTATAAATTAAATTAAATAATTAAAGAAACGAATTATACCGGATAAAAATAAAAATGACACTGCCTTTTTAATTAATGCCTAATACCGATTTGCTTTCAGCGCTAAAATTCAAGTTATCGCAAGGTATATACCTTGTCTCCATTCTTATTGAAAAGGTCAATGCAAGGAATCGGTGGTCCTTCGCGTCGAAACCTTCTGTGACTGAAGGCCCGCTCTCTGTAACCCCTAACTTTGGCAATCAGCACTTTCCATTGACCCAACCAAGTGAGTTCCGCAAACATTTCGCAAGCCTCGGCACACCATTCATTCCATACGGGACACCTGTGACACAATGTGAGAAAAATATTTGAAAAATTATCACACGAATGCTGGATTTTATTTTTTTCACGTTGAAGAATTATTACTTTAATTATTATTAATTTTTTGTACGCTAATATAATCAGTCGAAACAGCCAGAACGAACTCAAACATGTACATATTTGCATTTCTGACAATGTCCAAATCTTCCCATCTCCTACATCTACTTTGATGCTGTTTCAATGACAGGCCTTCGAATCATGAATTTCGTAAATCTATCGAATATCTCATTCTTCTTCTTAGTTATATTTCGAAAGAAATAAAATTATATATATTATACTACAATTAAGGGCTCGCTAATTTTGGACCAAGAAATTATCCATCTCTGAACTACTGTAACTTCACGGAAAAGATACATACAAACCTGTACCTGTACTCACATTAAAGGTTAAAACCTGTACTTTTTTGACGCTGGATTGGATTTTTCCACAAATGCTTTTATACTCGGATGCGGAGCAAAATTAAGATCATCCTTTACCCTAAATATTTTCTAAATTCAAACGACTCCACAGAATTGAACAAATTTTTTTTGTAATTCGTTTTATAAAAAGCTTAAAGAGAGCAGTCTCGCCTCTACAACAAACATCTAAAAGTCTACGTACGAATTTTTGTGACCAAGTTATCGCACTTTGAAAGAAAAGAGTGATTGGAATTGGAATTAAAACTTGCATGGGATATCCAAGTCTTAAAGGATTCTCAACAAATTTTACAATCTTACATATAAGCAAGTCTAGATTTCTAATTTCGAGTCTGGACAATTTGAAGTCCATTCTTTCCAGGATTCTAGATGGACACTGATTTCATGAATTTCATTTTTCAACACTTCCAAACCTATTTTACCTAAAAATAATCAATCTATTTCAGTGTACCAACACGTACATCGTGTACTTAATTACGTACAGTTTCCACCAAGCAAATGTTCGCGTAGTAATTGCCTTTCTTTCAATATCAAACAGCGTTTCAGAGAGATCAAAATAAAGGTTCAATTACCTCGAGCTATATTAGTACGTTTACTCTCGATCCGCTTCGTTCTCGTCCCAATTACCAAGAACTTTTAAGCAACCGCGATTCTTTATGCAATTGCCATTAACCCTGTTTCGCGAACGAGATTCAGAGTTCGAGAGTTGATAGAGCTATTATCACACGAAACAAAGAACGTGTGCGTGAAACACCCCCATTTAGTGAGGCTTGAGCACTTTCGGGACGCCTTGTTCCATTTATAAACGGCACAGCACAAGTATACACGTGCGAGAAGATGAAGTGGACGATGAACGTAGACCTCTGGTAATGGTCAGAGGGTCTCAGTCGTTTCACGATCTTCGTGCTGAACAATATCCTCGACCAAAGCCAAAAAAGAAAGCGTGCTGCCAATCGATCATCTCTATTCCTCTAAGCCGAATCTGCTACCAGTGATCGTTTAAAAATTCCAATACTTCCAAATCTTGTCAAATTTCAATGAATTTCATCAAATATCTAAAAAAAAAAATATGTGAATGCCTTCGTTTAAAAAAATATTACGATAAAAAAAGAAAGGACAGAAAATGGGGAAAATTCGAGGAATAAATATCGGTGATAGTTTCAACTTCTGATTAATTCCTGATCGATTTTTACCGTTCTTTTTGTCGATCTTTTGCGAGATAAATCTACGATTTACGCGACGAGAAAAGTGAACGTGAACGGAATGTCGAGTGCAACAGAGTGCAGAAGTGAACCCGCGATTTCTCGCTGGATGGAACTTTTGCTAGCTCGATGCACTTTGTGCCCGATGCATTAATGAACGTTATAATAGAGCCGTGTGTTATATTTACGCAAGTATGCATTTATTTCGCTATACTGCTCGCCTGCCTGTACGACTCTTTGCGTGTTACAGTGGTGTAGTTTTGAATGCCAATGAGAAAACGCTACTCCCTCGACTTTCTGCCAGTTGTCAAGAGAAGCTTCACGTTTTTACCCGATGGATCTTACGTCGAATTTTATCCAGCTAATCACATCAAGCAAACATTAAACAAATATTGATATTAAGGCAGATATCCACATACATAGCTATTAGAAGCTATTTGGAGATATCTTTATCACTCTAGACATTTCTTCGTTTATCTGTGTCTTCGAAATGATCGTTCTGTTTCCATCGCGAAAGTTAAATTCACAATTGAAGAGATCAAAGTTACCCTCCTGTTTAACCACCTGGAAAATAAAAGTACGACGAAAGATGAAGAAAAAGTTAAAGAACAGGGTGTAAGAAGAGAAAAATAATGACTCCTTTTACAAGCAATAACGGCTGCAGCGAATGCTTCTGCATCGGGGAGAATCGAAGCTGATGAGAGCACGGTGAAGCGAGTAGAACGGAAATAGAAAGCGTTTCGGAGTGGTCTGCGGCTTTCTGGCAACGAGGCACTCGTCGGATTTGCCCTCAAAAGCCGTCGTGTCGCGTGTAACCGAAGACCGTCGGCACCGCGGTAATTCCAACTCGAAAACCATCGTGTGTGCATTACTTCGAGGTTGCACCGGTGATTAGCTGTTCCTCGGCACGCGATATGAGCCCCGGTATTTGGCCAGATTGATTAAATTCGCATTCGATTGCTACCCCACAGCGGAATCTACTCCCATTCTGATCGTTCACAGCATTACGAGGGTGCCTCGATTTTTGTCTCGTTAGTAGCTCCAACTGACGTTGAACAGAGCTCGTGAAAATCGCTTTGGACACATCACTGACTCTTTGCACTTCAGAGAAGATCATCGATTAATAAAATTCTGAAGAACGATACTAGTTAATGCGTGAAATATCGGAATAAAATAATTCTACGTGACGATTTATATGCGATTCCTTATTTACCATTTTAAAAAATATCGTCAACTTTGTAGCAGAATATCTTTGAATTGCTATCTTTCTATGGCGAAAAAGTCGCCGAATGCGAAGGGGTAACTTGCACTAAGCTTGCACTATGATTCGGTAATGAAAAATTGTGGATTTATATTGCCTATGTATAATCAGATACATAATTGGGTTTATAAGTATATGAGGCCATCGAGGAGAAATCGATTGGATAAATTTCTTCTGGATGCTAGTCAGATTTCGAATACAAGAAATTGGTATCAGAAATAACCGACCAAAACAAGTCAATACGATTGCATTAATCGTACCCTCTGCTCGTTTTCAATTAAAGCTGTGGTGACATAGTATGGGAAGGGTGTCGATGGTAGATATGAAGTTCTGTAATTGATATTCCATCGATTGCAGTAGCAACTGAAATTGCTTCGGAATCAGCTTGAATCTTTATTGATTCTCCACGCGTAATTGCTGTTTCGATAATTGCTATTAAATTTCGATTTCGTTCATAGCCCCTTTACGGTTAAATCGAGCCAGGTACCTCAATGTTCTTCGATTTGTTCGAATTCATCATAGTCGAAATTCTTCAAAAACAAAAGTGGAATTTAGTATCATTTTCATTTTATGTAGCAATTATAATATGCAGAGAGTATGACGATGACTTGGGTCTAGTGACGAACTGTTATTAATAGCAAAATGTAAAATGTTTTAGAGTAGAAAATTCAGTAACAATTTATAAAAATATTTGTACCACGAAATTATAAAAATTTGTTATACGTTGTAAATTTGACTTATGGATCAAATAATTTTATCTTCTCTCTAAATCAACGATCAGACTCTACAATAAATTTTTATTAAACACTTACTAAATAATTTATGAAATCAACTTATACAATGAAATTGCGGAAGAATTTGTTACATATTATAAATACAGCTTAATTACCATGTTCGATGATAGTTTTACATTTTCCCTAGACCAGCAGTTACTACTAAATAAAATTACCTTTCCAAATAATCTATATTCCATAAACGAAAATCCCATTTCTTTATCTTTTAAAAAATCATAATTCGCCAACACGTTCCCATTGTAATTTTATTCAAATCAAAACTCTTTCTTTCCATCTTTTCTTTTTTAATTTCTTTCCATCGAGTATGTTTTAATACGATCCATTTGTTTGTCTGCCTTCGATCGTTCACCAAGCTTACTCGAAATAAAACGCAAATTTCGTGGGCGCGTCTAAACAAAAGCGTAAACCTGCCGCATAACCGGTACGGAATTCTCGTTAAATTAAGGGTAAATTAAGATCGAAAATTGGCAACCTGCCAACGAATGTATACACACGCGTGTCTAACGTTGAATTTGCGATTTATACCGCAAAGTTCGCCGGTGCCCGGGACTAACAATCGGCAAAGTGTACCGCGTGCTTTCACGTGACGCTTTATCGTGATCGTGTGCCGCAATTATGCCGTTTCAACGAGAATTACTTTTACCTCGGTCAGACAGACGGACAGACAGACGAACGGATGCAAAAAAATTCGAAAGGTGGGAGGGAAAAAATTGTCGAGGCGAGAAAAGAAGAAAAAATATGGTAGAAAACAGGGAGATGACGAATATTAAAGAATATAATTAAAAACTAATCAAAATTAGTTGAGAAACCTTCGATATTCCAATTAATAAAGGAATTGTTTGAATAAATCAATTTTTAGATAGACAAATTATGATCTTATCTTGTATCTAGTATCATATGTATACGTAAAAATTGATTGTGTATGAAAACACAATGGATCCTACAATGTTCGAATAAATAAATGGATTTCTAGGTAGAGAAAAATTTATTTTGTCACAAGTTTCGTATCGCATGTAACAATTAATGTAAATAGGAGAAAATATACAGAAATGATAACAGAATGGCCTTTCCGCTCACATAGAACCGCCATAAAATGGAACTACTGGTACCATCAGTCTCAGATGTCGTGTTTAAGTACACATGGCCTATTTCGAATTACAAGAAAATTGTTTTAAAGAAAAATCTCATCGATAGCCCCTTATTTGACGTGAATGTGAACGGTATTCACAGTACGTGGAATTTGTCCATCAGATTTTGGAAAGATCTTGATGGTAAGAAGAACGATAACGTTAATCACTAAAATGCCGTTTCGATCGTTATTCTGTAAATCATCCTTCTTACCGACAAAAATTACACTTCGGACAACATTTCATGAAATTCGGGTCAACGAAATTGGAACTCGAATAATTCAACTTGAAAAACGGGAGGATTTAGCTGAAGAACTTTTGTAATATAACTTGAAAAGTTTCGTAACTTAACTGAAGAAAGTTGGCGAATTTTTAAATTCCCATTTTAACAATCCCTAATCATGAAAGTTTCACAGCTGAAATCCTTTTATAGAAAGAGAAATTATTTCTAACTGTGACGAGCTATTTCAGAATCCGAAGCATTCGTCTCTCTTCTTCTCTTCTCTTCACTTCCTTTTTTTTTCCCTTTTTGTTTTCATTCGAAAGAATCATCGATATCGACTTTATTAAGGGAAAGAATGGTTCACTGTTTGGTAACAGGCAAAAGAATGATAAACCCGATGGTATTGTGCCTGAACATGTTGAACTGCACCGTAGATGAAGCGGAACAAGCGAAGATACGATTTCAATTTTCTGTTTTCAATGCCGACGTTAAACACTGGGAGTACTGTCACGTTAGCAGGACAATACTGGAGCTGAAATCGTACATGGACATCATTTCATTAGTCTACAGAGACTTATCCATCATCGACAGGCATTTGAAGAAAAACGGCGAGATGATATTAATGGCTAAGATACAGATAATTCAATATGAAAGTGAGAAGCATAACTTATCACAGGCAAGTACAGTACAGCAAGTATACATTGGCATATGCTTAAAAGCCTTATTAATTTCGTTTACGAACCCATGTTTGAATTTTCATGAAAAAGAAAAGAAGTTTAAATATTTTATTTTTCTGCTACACCACGAAATGAAAGTGAAGAAAATAAATTCTTCCAGAAAAATACATATATGTAGTATTTAATATACATGCAATTTAAACTTAAATAATACATAATTTAAATATTTAAGCATCTCTGTAGTAAGTAATTGAAAAAATCTCTTTCAAGATTGGATAACAAAAGTTAATTAAAAAGTAATAAAAAATAAAATGATAAATGATAATTAAGTAATAAATTAATGTGTTCCAGGATATGATTAGATTATTGAAGTATTTATATGGTGTAAACATTAAATTAAATTATGGATGTTTGAGCAACACTGAATTTGCAGTCCACAACAGTGTGTTAGCTGATCGTAGCAATGTTCTGACTGAAATGACTAAAGTGTACCAGAAATTATTCTGTGCCAATGTTGCAAAATACTCAAATTAATTTGTTTTAAATAATACAATATAACAACTTGATAGTTTGAAAATATTCTTTAAAATCATGATATTAATATAGACTGGAAGAATAAAAACATAGTCATTAGTACATTAACATTTACTTCATTGCAAGATGTTTGATTTCCAAACTGATATTTCTTTTAATATTTGTTTCTCTAATATTATTATGATTTTCTAGAATTGTAATGTGTTTATTATAATTAACAATTATTCTGATTTTTATTTATATATTTTTATAGTTGATAATTTAGATAATTTCGCTCCGCAACTTTTATCTTTAGCTGAATGCTTTTCTTTGCAAAGTATCATATATTACAGTATTAAAGAATTTGTTTGCTAGAAATTTGACATCGATTAAAAACCATTGTTGTCAATTATTTTTTAAGACTGAAGGAGCTTGGCAAGAGAAATCTTATCGAAACGATAACTTCAGAAAACATAGCGAGCAGACTTTTGGTTGTAAACGAGTTTTGGCTGTGATACACTTAAAAGAGCAAGTTTAGCATACTGTGAAGAAAACATAATGATATTGAATAAAAGTTTGGCATAAAAAATGATGAAGTGTGAATTAAGCAACTGACATTTTCTTTTCTTATGCTTATATTAATTAAGCATTAATTGTAAATTTTTATAAATTTTGATTAATAACTTTATATTTTTCAAAAAATAGAAATCTATGTAATATATGACATAGAAAGTTTCATTATTCATAAAATCTCGTCGACTTTGACAAATAATTCTATAAAAAAATGTTTTGACTTTAATATATCTCATCATCGTTATACTTAATTAAATTAACTTTATTAGAAATTAACTTACCGTGATTTAATATTAGCTAACGAACATTCGACTGCTTGCAACTTTAAGCTGAGAAAATCGGTTCGAAGCTTCAAAACAGAATCGATTTGAACCATTTCATGATCTCCATAATCTACAAAATATACTTCACATTGACCATCTTCAGGAGTAGAAATAACTTCAGCTCTGTACCACTGTTTATCATAACTGAATTTTGCTGCTACTATTTGTCCAAGTGTTATCTGAAATAATATATTTCGGATAGTAATCACAAAACAACTAATTTTAAAACTTTTTATATACTACTTCTTGTAAGTGCATGTTAAAATACTCAATTATATATTTACATTTTTCAATATATGTAATCCATGATTTTGTTCATCATCATAGTAAGCAGTCATTTCATATACCAATTTATCTAATGCTGTAGTATCAGGACCAACAACTTGAACGCAAAATTGGCTAGGACTTTCCATTGCAGATACATATACTTTCACCAAGCCATCAGAAACTAGCAATAAAAATATATAATATATACAAAATATTCATATTATATACTAAGTAAAAACATTATTTATATTTAATATACCTTGTAATGACAAAGATTCAATAGTTTGAACCTGTTCAGATGTGCTAATTGTAGTGCTTTGGGGAGATAATTTTTCTCTAGGCATTCTTGAAGTAGAAGAAGCCTCTAATTTTAAACGTACTTCTTTTTCTTCACGAATTCTTTCTTTAATTTGTAACAAAGCTGCAGCAATTTGTTCACCTGTTCCTTTTATAGTAACCATTTTCTCTGCATCTGTAAGATACTAGTAATTATTAAAATTTAAAAATGATAACACCAAACACAAGACACAATAATGTAAATTTATACAAAATAAACATACTTGTATCATAAGGATTATAGCTTCTATCAACAATAATTTTTGCATTAGAGGTTGTTTGAATCCGTTGTATAACTTCACCACCCCTTCCTATTATTCTGCTACATGTATTTTGTGGTATATACATTACATATGTTTCAATTATAGGCTGATTTTGCACTATAGACTTTATCATTTCTTCAGCTAAATGTACATTTTCATAGCTTCCTTTTATTATACAAATATGATCGGGACAATCAATATTATTTTCTTTAAAATGTATCTGAGTTCCTGTTTTATTTTCTACATCTTTTATTACTGAACCACCCCTTCCAATAACAGCAGGAACAAATTGTCTGGGTATATGACATTCCACTGTAAATCGTTTTGCAATTTCAATATTGTTTTTTCTAGATTTAATATCTTCTCCATCCTATGTAATTAAAGAAGCGATTAAAATAAAATGTTAAATAATATATAAATTTATATATTCTTCAATCATACCTTTTTGTACAGTATATATAATACAGCAATACTAATACTTGTTAAAGATAAACCAAGTAAAATTGGTAGTGTAAAGTGTTGTGCCATCCACTGCATTTTATATTTCAGTATTCAAACACGCAATTTGCATATAAATATTCTCATATAACTTTTACCTTCATCTAAATAAACACATTTAAATGTGGAACATGCTTCAGGATTGTTATGAATAAAATGCTTTATAACCTCGAAAATTCTGGTGAAAAACATTCATGGCGCGAATTACAAAACATACTACAAAAGGTAGATATAAAAATGTATTTTTAGAGTACTTTTGAATATTTTTCAATTTATGTAATTCATTCGGATATAAATAATGACAGGCTTTTAACCTCAAATTGGAAATTATATTTTTAAAACTATATTATTATCAATAATAAAATTAAAATGTATTTTAAAGACTCACACGTTTGTTAAAAAAAATACGTATATAACATTTTTATAGCGTCTTTATTTTAAACAAACACATGTTATACTTACCATAGGAGAATTGAGGCTATAGCATAATCACTAAGAATAGATCATAACAGATTATTTAAATGTATCGTTTCTATCAATGAGTTTAATAACACAATTATCCATAAATTATCGAAAATAATCAAATATTACAAAGGAGATAGAAGTATAAATGAAATATAAGATAAACTTACAATCTTATTAGTTTCATATTCAATGTTCTAAAATACATGTGTTATGCTTTATAAAATGAAAAATAATAAATTTTATAGTTATATTCAATCGATTCGTTAAAGTTAATAAACTCACAGATATATAAAGATTTTGTTTTATCACATTATTATACAAAATGCCAATAACATTCACAATTGTTGCAATTTTGTCTCGTTATTCCCAGCAATTTTTTCCAGAGAAAATTAATAAATTACTTAATTTCTGTAATCGATCCTGAAGGCTATACTTTTACAATGCAATTATAAAAATTCATAAATTAACTACAGAAATTAAGAAGATGGTTAGAAAAGAATAGAGTAGCTTAGGCCGTGAAAATTAACAAATTACTCAATTTCTGCGATTAATTTGGGAACTCTTATAATTACATCATAACGACGCAAGAATAGTTTATTTCAATAATAATTTGTACAGTAATTTACATATGTACGATTATTTTTTCATATAAAAAAACCATTTACTTCTTTATAACAACATTTTTTAACATATATGTGTTTGAAACAACATTTTAAAGTTAAAAAAAAGCGAAGTGTTGCTAAAATTGTTATTAACCAAAGGGATTTTCTATAATCTATATACATAATCCATCCTAAAATAAGCTGAAATTCGGGTTTTTAACACATTTTATAAAATTACATAACTTATATATACGTATTATACATCTAAGAATGTCTCCACATGTTTTTCATCGTGCATTTATAAAATTTTTTTAAAGTATGTTCAATAAAGGTGGTCATAATGCTCATGTACCAAATTTTCTAACTAATATGTAATATATGTTACCATATAATTATTATATTTTTATAATTAATTTTATTAATTTACGGTGTTTTCGTGGTGGAAATTAAGCATTCTCTAACTTGTCATTTTCGTAACAAAAACATATTTGTATTTGCTTCATTGACATTAACAAACATAAGAGACATCGTTTGATATTCTATATCGATACTTTAGCACATGGCTGTTTCAAACACGAAGCATCTTCCCTCGAAAATGAGCCACAGCTTGCCCAATCGCAGAACACTTCCAGTCGACGAGAATCCAACATGCCGGTAACACGTGGTAGAATATTTACACGCGTTAAGGTGAAACTTTCAGTCCCCGAACAGAACGTTTCGTGAAGTAGTGTTATTCTTGACTAGTCCTTTATATACTGCAAATAACAAAAGAAATATTCAAGAATAATAATACGCAGTATCAATTATAATTTCGGAACATTGAACAACTTTTGCAACATCGTCATGATGTAAAGGAAGACAACACAAGTTTAAGACATTGAGAAAACCTTGCCAAGAACAGGATAAATAACTGTGAACATTTGTTCGGTGGTAACATACTACATGTGGAAAAAAGTGAAGGTACACAGGTGAAATAAAGTGACGGAAGTACAAGTGCCTGTGAAATCGTGCTACACAGTTCAATTTTATTGTTTATATTTCCGTAATTAGGCTATCGGATTAGGTTTTTTCCATATAGCAGTGCCGATTAGGCTTTTCTCTATATCGTGTGTCGAGTTTTCTTCGATTTCGACTACTCGTATCCGAAATAACAGCGTAGAGTAGGTACTTCTGTAACGAGATTCGGTTTCAAGCGTGCGTTTTCGTAAAATAGTGCCGAAAGTATCTATGGCTGTGATATTGTGCTGCGTAATAGACTTCTTTCTCTTCTTTCTTCGAAATTAGGCTTTTTGATTAGGTTTTTTTTATATAACAGCGTAGAGTAGCTTCGAGGCAATATTTCGTTGCATTAAACAAACATGTACAACAGTAGAAAAGTTTGGAATCATGGAATGTCATCAGTGTTGGACCATTAAATGCCAAGAATTATATTTTATAGCAGGAAAAAATTGATGCAGTAATAAAAATATGTAAGGTATGACATGTCTATTGGATTCTAGGTCAGCTAACCATATGACAATATATGAGACCGGAATCTTTGATGGTCAAATAGAGATTCATGAAAGGGAGATGCTTCAGGCAGATGAAAGGGAGAGAAATTAATTTAGACAATGTCTTCTTTTAACAACAAGATGCATGGAATACATTGAGATTGAAAGGTACGTTGTGTTCTTGATTTGAATAAATATTGATATCCATGGTCAAAGTCAATTGTCATCACTAATGTGTTAAGTTTCAGAATGATGGAGCTTTGAGATACATAAAACAAAAGGAGAAGTTCGAATGAAAGGAGTGAGAAGAGGAAACTCATATTATACAGTATCAAGAAACAGAAAAGAGGCTGCATATGTATCAACACAGAAAAATGTGTGGCATCGACATGGAAATATGAGGATCATTGAAGAAATGGAGAATGAACAAGTTGTGAAAGGTAAAGTTAAATTGAATATAGAATGTAAATGTTACATTAAGGCAAAAATATATAGAAATATCTATAGAAACTTGGAAACTATAAAAACATCAAGAATAATGGTGCTGTGGCACATCATGGACTTAATTGGGCCAATAAAGCCAATGTCAAAAGGTGGTAAAAGGTACGTCTCACCTGCTGATGATTATTCGAGAAAAGAACCATTTGGTTGACTGATTTATAAATAACTAAAGATTTAATATGAAACATTATTGATGAAGGATTTTTTTTTTTTAGGAGACTTACAAACATGAGTAATATTTATATGCAAGAGCCAGCCAGTAAGGATAAAGTAATAAACATTATTTAATAATATTTCAATGAATTGTATATCTATTTTTATAAATTTAACCGATATACAATATTTACTTTCTAAATTTCTATATTAATGTATTAAATAATTTCTAATTTGAATTACAATAATAAATAATAAATTTGAATAAATTTGATTTTGGAACTATTTTACATTAATCAAACTAATATATTTGTTATAACTAGGTTGTAATGAAAAAAGCTGTTGGTGATGTTGAGTTAGAATTATAAGCAAAGGAAATTCTTTAGAATTATGAGCAAAGGAAACTGCAAAGGCACGTAGAAATTTCATACAATTATGTATAGAATGTTATTGGGATAACACTATATTTCATAGAATTATCAAAGGATTCATAACACAAGATGGTGATTCCACAGGTACAGGAGAAAGTGGTAAAATATATGAAGAACCACTTAAAGTGGGACTATATATAAAAATAAAATGAATTCCTTTTTTATTCAAAAATAATTATTGAACATACATGTTTCAGGACGAATTTCATACAAGATTACGTTTTTGTCGACGAGATTTAATTGCTATGGCTAATGCTGTAAAAGATGGCAATGATTCCCAATTCTTCTTTACTCTTAGTTCTACACCAGAATTGCGGAATAAACATACAATCTTTAGTAAAGTTACTGGAGAATCTATATATAGTATGCTTAAACTCGAACAAGCACTTGTACATGAGGTAAATTTAATGTTTGCAAGAATATATATCAAGAATTGATATAAATGTATTAATATTTCCTATGTTTTGTAGAATGATAGACCAACTTATCCTTCAAGATTTATATAAACTATAATACTGAACAATCCATTTTCTGATATTATTCCAAGAATAATAGTACAGCAAAGTGAAGAAGTAAAGGACAGTTTACAAACTAAAACAGCAGCAGTATTATTCTTTGCAATGAAAGATTTTGTTACAAAGATTTCAATCTTTTACCATTTGGTGAAGAAGCAGAGGGTGATGATGTAGAATCTGTGCTATTAAATAAAAAGTTTAGTGGTAAGGACAATTCAGCTCATGATCATTTAACTGATC